TAATGATAATATTACAATAAAGTAAGTAATTCTTATGATGAATATTTAATGAGAGCATTTGACGTATACCTATGATACTAATTATTACCATTTCATTCCTGCTATGTACAATAGTGAAATATAATGACTGCAGATACAGAAACACTGATATTAATAGAAGCTAGAGTGAATGAAATATTATCATAAGTGTATTTATATACAATAATATGTTCATGTGGCTAACTGTGTAAACTGATAGAGGTCACACATACAATGATTAAACGTGAATCTATCAATAATAAGGTTACCATAGTACCTAACTGTAATTGATTTGTGTATTTCTTACTCTCCACTTTTTTGTTACTGTATAGGATATACTAGTGATAATGATTGGTCTACTAGTGTAATACCTCTGGACCAGTATCAAGATCAACTAAGAAGAAGGATACTGAGTGATTGGGAGAATTTAGGATTAAGCAAAGAGGTGCAATTACTCAGAGGGCACTTACAAGAAAGAGAGAGAGAATTCTATGAGGAACAGCTTCAAAGAGAAATAAAAGAGAAGGAGCAGATACAGCAAGATCGAGACAAAGAGCAGCAGCAGGTTCTTCAAGAAAAGGCAACACTTAGTCAGCAACTTGATGATGCTACAACTATCCTTGAGCAAGCAGAAAAGGATAAATCAAGTCTTGAATTAGGTACTATTGTGTTATATTGTTGTTTATGTGTACATTGTTTACATTATAATACTAGTGGATTAGAGAATGTTGATTATGGAAATATTATCCCTTACTCAATATAGGTCAAATTGTACATGCATTAGAAATAATGAGATTGATGTAGAGTGAGCTCTGCTTACCATATATGGTATCATTAGCAATAATCATAGTACATGTATTTATGGGCTACTGTACATGCAGTGCTAATTTGTTCAGCAGCGAATGTCATTTTATTTTGTATCTTTATATTTTTATTGATAATAGAAGATTATGAGAAGCTTAAAGCTCAAGTTGCTGAAACATTAGAAGAGAAGAAACAAGTAGAGGAGAAGAAACAGATTATTACTGGTTAGTGTATCATCAGCTCATAATATTAGATGAGAGAATATTCTATTAATGTAGAAGAATATGAACAACTGAAACTCAAAGTAGCTGATATGGAGGAACAATATCTCAAGGAGAAACAGATCATTTTTGGTTAGTTAACTATACACACAGCATGTATTAGATGAGAGAATATATTCAATGTGTAGATGATGTTCAAAATCTCAAAACTGACATTTCTGAGAAAGACAAAGTTATAGCCAAACTGGCATCACAAGTAGAGGAACAATCATACAATGAGAAGCAGATCATTACTGGTTAGTGTATCATCATCAATCAATAATAATTATTAATATTCTATTAATTTATAGACCTTAAGGAAAAGGATTTGTGCATAGCCAAACTAGTGAAGGAAAGACAAGAGAGGGTCCTCAAGCAACCTATCAAAGAGACTAGTTCCATTGGACTACAATTTAATTACCTGATCCCTTCAATGGGTAAGAGTATTATTGACTGACTGAGTGACTGTGTGTCTTATTACTACTGATAGATAATTGGA